TGGTGCGAATCAACTCAAAACAGCTAAAAATTCAGCAGTTATTCCCCCAAACGATTAGGAACTAAGCTCTGCCCAAGGCTTCCAGAAAGAGCAGACAAAATGGTTCTAAAATTAAACATCCACTAAGTGGTGGCAACAAAACCAGTAACCAGTAGGAAACTTTGGAATGCACGTTTGTTTTTTTTCCAGACATAAAGAACTTTGTGTCAAACAAAAACCTATGGAGCAAAGGACTACAATCAAGGCATATTCCTGGTAGAATATTGGATTCCAGAAGCTTAGAGGTTTAGCAAGGTGGTGGCTGGCTGTTTGTTTACACTGGTCTGAAGACAAACGACAATTAAGAACTTCTCTCACATAAGAGTTCCCACATCTGGATTGTTAACTAATGCTTTTCAAGTGAAGATACGGAATGGTGGTTGGTAGCTGCTGGTGCTGGGTTGATCCCCCCCCCCCAAAGTCCCAAACTCCTAGGAGACCTAAAAAAGTTTTAAGTGTTTGGTTTTTTGTTCTGTTCGCATCACAACTGCCCTGTTGTGAGTATTTTGTTCATCAATACAAAAGTTCGTTGGCTTTTTTTTTTTGCTCAACAAGAATGAAACTTCATAATAATAATAAAAATAATAAAAACAAAAAACAAAAAGAGGAAACCGAAAGGGGAGGGGTGGGGCCCCTCCCGGCACACAAGTTCGAGTCCAAGTGCTCGGTGCGGCCCGCAGTCTCTGCTCACATGGCCTGTCACCCCCCAACTCCCGCGCCCCTCCCTGCCCGTAACAGGGCTCCAGGTGGCAGGGGCGCCCTCCAACAACCCCCAGAACAGCCTTCCCCCTTTCTCCTCCTCCTCGCTGGCGCCCTCTTGCCTCAATCGTCAGAGATGGACAGGCGGCTGAAGATGGGCAGGCGGCGGCCAGGGTCGAGGCTGGGGGACTCGGAGCCGCTGAGACTGCCCGAGCTTAGTGAGCCGCTCAAGTAGCTGTCACGGTCCGACAGCGAGTCCGGGGTGCTAGGGGGCGCGTCGAAGACGGGCGAATCCGACAGGCGGCGCGGCAGCTGGAAGTTGAAGGGCGGCGAGGGCGGCGCGGTGGCACTGGCAGGGAGGGGCGCGCTGGGCGGCGCTGGGGGCTGCGCGGGGGGCACCAGGCCCTGCTGCTGCTGCTGGCTGCGATAGTAGGCGGCGGCCACGGCGGCGAAGTTGTGGGTCTGGATGGCAAGCGGCGTGATGAGGCTGCTCAGCTCCGGGCCAAACGCAAAGGCGTTGTTGGCGCACGAGGCCGACGAGCAGGCCGCGCACTGGGCGCCCGGCGCCAGCAGGTCCTCCGCGCCCCCTGTGCCGTACAGCAGCGCCGCCGCGGCCGCAGCCGCCGCCGAGGCACAGCACGTCGGAGCGCCCGAGGGCGTGGAAGCTGCGGAGGCGGACGAGCAAGACGAAGCGGAAGAGGAGCAGGACGAGGCCGAGGAGCAAGAGGGTGGCGGCGGCGGCGTGCGCGACGTGGGGCTGTCGAGCAGCAGCGGCGACTCGAGGCCCCCCGGGGGCTGGTGGTGGCCCGACGGGAAGCCAGAGAAGCTGAGGCTGTGATGCAGCTTGGGCCGCGGCTCCCGGGGGAAGCCCAGGTGCAGCGCGTCCCGCGCGCTAAAGGCGCGCAGGTCCCCAGAGGCGCCCCCAGACGGCGCGGGCCGCCGCTCGTCTGCGTTGTGGATGAAGTGGCAGCGCGGCCCGTAGGGGCAGAAGCCGATGGTGTGGAAGGTGCGGCACAGCTCGGTCTTGTACTTGGGGTGCCGGGTCAGGCTGCGTAGCTCGTGGAAGCCGTGCGCGAACTGGCACTTCTCGCCGTACTTGCACGTGCCGCTCTCCTCGAAGGGCCGGCACAGCTCAGTCTTGTAGCGCGTCGAGTTGATCTGGGAGCCGCCGCCCCCCTTCTGCTGCTGCTGCTGCTGCAGGTGCAAGAGGTGTTGGCTGCGCTCGCCGTTCTCGCTGAACGAGCGGTCCCGAAATTTGTTCTCCTTGTTCAGCAGGGCCGTGCCTCCGCCCCCTGACGGCTCCTTGAGAGTGCCGTAGGAGGCCGGGCCGCCCGCCGCCCCGCTGCCACAGCTGCTGCCGTTAGCCGCGCCCGGGAACTTGGGCGAGCAGCTGCCCGGGCTAGGCGCGGGGTGGGCGAGCGCGTGCAGGTTGCTAGCCGAGTGCCGTCGGAGAAAGCCCGGCGTGAAGCCCGAGCTAGGGGCGGCGGCCACGGGGGTCCCCACAGCCTTCTTGTCCAGCATGTTCAGATTGAGGTTGGCCAGGGATTTCTCCGTCTGCCAAAAGGAGGGGGGCGAGGACGGGATGAAATATGGAAAGGAAGAGTTGGGGCGAGCTGCAGAACTTCAGCCTTCTGATTCTTCTTCCTTTCTGCAGATTTCGATCCGGCCCCCACCCTCCACCCGTACACGCGCGAAAAGAATCAAGTTTGCGTTGGGAGGAGCCGACTCCCACCCCAGGCCGCGCTCGGTTTCGACATGTAATCCTCAGCCCGTGGCCCGCCAGCTTGGGCGGCGCAAAGCCGGTCCGGGAAGCCCCGGGCAGCGTGGCCGCGGTCGGCGCCGGAGAAACTAAACAGCGACAGCGCCTCCCTCCTGCCCGCCCTCCCTCTATGCTCCTTCTCCCCGCCCACAAGGCACGAGCACACACCACAGCGAACTCCCAGGACTTTTCCCGACCCCAAAGTCAAGGTGGGGAGGGGTGCCCCAAAGGCGGAAGGCAGAAGCAAAGTCTGAAAACTCGAGGGTCTTCCTGCCTGCCCGCCTTCCTCCCTCCTTGCTCCCTCGCATACCTTGCACAAGAAGTCGATATCGTAGAAGGCGGACAGAAGTGTGGTCGACATGTTTCTGGATCCTGTAATGGTCGGAGTTGCAGGCAGGGAGGTCCGTAGGAGCCCTCGGGGAGGCAAGGCCGGGCTCGAGCCACGACGAATAACGGGTGACCGGCGGGGGAGGGACCGAAAGTTTGCCGGGGGACGAGACAAGGGGGGAAAGGGAAGCAGCGCGGCCTGGTTTGAGGGTGCCCGGGAGTGCGGAGTGGGGGGAAAGACGACAGAGAAGCAAAGAGCGCTCCTCCGCGCCCCGGGGGTGCCCGGCCCGCCCCCCCCCCCCCCCCCCCTGCGCGGAGCCGGCGACAGCTCGCAGACTGCTGGAACTCGGCGGCCCGCGAGCGCGCGCCCTATATAGGGCCCGGGAGCGCGGCAGCGGCCGGGCGGGCGTGTCGGGGGAGGGGACAGAACGCTGACCCCGCCGGGGTCTCCAGGCAACGCCGCCCGCCGGCTCCCGGACGTCAAGCACCTTCGTGGCCTCCCATTGGCCGCCGCCAATTTTTTTTCCTCCGGAGGGGGCGGGAGGCCTCGGGGCGGGGCAGGCTGCCGGAGTGCCTGCGGCGGCGTGGAGAGCTGGTCCTTGATGGGTGCTGCTGGGTGGCGGCGGGAAGATAAGGCTCCCCTTCTCTGGGGCTGCACTGTTGGAAATCCCCTGCACGTTGAACGTGGCCAGGATTCTGCAGCCCTGGACGTGTCTCTCCCCGCCCGATCCTGCTAGGCGAAATTGCGGAGCTTTAATCTCTCACTCTCGGTTCTGACTGGGCGCGGGAATTGCAAAATGCGAGAATATTGCAACCATCCGCGCGGCCGGCTGGCTCGCAAAGAGTGCTCTGGCCGGCAGGTGGGTGGCGGGGGCTCAGGGCCTGCGTCCGGTGGGTGGTGGCTCCGTCCGGACTGCACGTGGAGACGCGGTGGGGGGGGGGGCGGGAGTGGCCACGCGGGCGGCTGCCGCGGCAGTCTCGCCCGGAGGAGCCTGGGCCGGTGTCTCCGCCCCCCTCCCCGCCCAGGCTGCAGTAAACAGGGATTCAGCACCGGGGCCTGCCGAGCTGGGCTGAGTGTCTGAGGACAAGGCGCTGGCTTTGCTAATCACATCACAAGACCTTGAGCCAGGGCCAAAGGCGCGGAATGGCGCGGAGCGTCCCGGGCGGGGGAGCCGGCTGGGAGGACGGGAGGAAAGGCTGGGAGAGCTGCGCAAGCATGGAGGCGACTTCCCGCCACCCCGTTCGTCCGCTCGTCGGCCCGGCCTTCCCCAGCCCTCCCGGGGGATGGGGTGCAGCTGCCGGCTGAGGCTGCCCGCCCACCGCAGCCTTGCCCCGGCGCGCCATCCAGGTCCCTTCCCTCCCAGGCCGTTAGGGGCGCCGCGCCCTGCCTTAGCTTGTTGTGGGCCGCAGGCTGTGGCTGAGGCCGGCCAGCGGCCAGGCAGGTCTGGGCACAGAGGACGCTCGGGGTGGGCTCGCCCCCCTTTACCCCTCTCAACAGTCCCACACCCCAAAAAGTCTGCGCTAGGAAATGTCTTCGCCAACAGGCCCCTCTGGGTGCGGGACGGACACCCCCCCCCAGCGTCCAGTTAGGCTAAAGCGGCTGACACCCCGTTTCGGGGAGATCTGGGGGGCTGGTCCAGGACATTTATCACTCCGCATTTAAACACGCTGCCAAAAAGCTGGAGTGGGCGTGAATTCTCACACCTGGCAGCCTCAGCAGCAATTGGGTGTAAGTTGGAAGGCTCAGTTCCCTCTAGGGAAGGAAGCAACCCACGCCCCTTTCCAAAATTGATCTTATTTCTTGTTGTTTCCTCATGGTCATTTCCACTCGTTAACCTGGAAGGAAAGGAGCCAGGTCTGTCACTCATGAAACTGACCCTTCAGAGCTCAGTTTGCACGCAGTTCTTCTTGCTGAAACTCCCACCACCCACCGGGAGAGCTTGGGACCGAGTAGGGCTGCAAGGCCTCTGAGATCTGAAACACAGGGCTGGAATTTAAGCCCTGCCCCTTCCAAGCCATGTGATCCTGGGCAAATCACATAATCTCTTTGGTACTTGTGTTTCCTTGTAAAACTAAGATAATTCCTGCTTTAATCACCTCTCCCCTTTGTCAAGGCGCACATGAGTTATCTGTTAAGGTGTATAAAAGATGAACAAGTATAACCCCTATTATTTATTAAAACAAGTTGACAAAGCATAAAAACGGAGACAGGTCTCTGGGTTGTGGCTGGATGGAAAGGGAAATCACCGAATCATGCCTGCAGACCTGAGGGGCACCAAATCTTGGACAGAAGAGGTGACTCCTTCCCTCTGGGGGATGGTTGCACCCAGAGCTACACTGGTCCCCAGGCAGCTCTGGGCAATGGGTGGCTGACACTCACAGCCCAAGAACCCCAACTGTTCTGTTTTGTTTTTTGTTGAAATGACCCCAAACACAGGAGTTCCAGGGTAGCTCCCCCTGCCCCCCATAGCAGTATTCTAAGATTCCCCTGGGAATGCATCAGGCAAGTGTGAAACTGCCATTTCCTTAGCCACCACTATTGTAGGTCAGTAACAAGATTTCAGATTCGAAACCAGGAGAAATATCTATCCCTCCTGTCCTCCCAGGCTGGCCACAGCCAGCCAGTATCAAAATCTGGGGTAATTCCCAGTGGGCAGCTATGAGAACACCCATTTTGCAGGCTGGGTAGAAGGATCCTGGAGATAACATGTAATAAACACACCATGCTTACATGCTTTGGTACGGAGTACCCGCTAGTAGAAAGTATTTTTTCTTATAATATAACTGCCTTTATCTCATTTTAAATGGAGAAAAAAGGAATGCTGGGCTTTTCCAGTGAGCTTGGCTTTGCCGGGGGCCGGTTTCACAGTTACTGAACCATGGTCATCACTGCATCGTGCCAACGATTCCCAGTCAGGTCGCCTTTCTCAGAACAAAAAGAAATGTTAGACTAGCCACTTTCCCTCATGTGTGGGCTACACAGATGCCCAACCAGGTAATTAATTCAGGATCATAAAAAACACATGTTGAGCTGAATAGTGCAAAACCACCCAGAGAATTTCCTCTTCTCTTTAGGACAAAGTTTTGGACTCTAAGTTTACTTCATTCCCTGCCTTTTCCTATAGGCCCTTCCTCTATACTTCCAGTATGGCTGTTTTTTTAGTGTTAGGTGGTTTACTTTTAAAGAGAAACAAATTTGGATACGAGCCTTTCTGTGGGAGGAAATGATATCAAACCCTCTCGCCTCTAAACTGCCCCTTTAACGTATTTCCAAGTGACTGTTCATCTGAGAAGTATTTTAAAATATTTACAGACCCTAAAAGCTGGACCAACTTTACATACTACTACTAAAATGGCTTTTTCGGATAACCAGAATGAAAAACGAATATGGATGAGCCTATGGCCAATCCAAACTATGAATTTCAAGATAGCCGTCTGTGGGCAACGCTTATTCTGAGATTATAGGTAGAAAATGGCAAGCCAAGGAAAGGCTGGAATAGCAGCAAAATGTATGCAAGAGCGACACCTGCTGGGTATCAGAGGAAGAGGGCTGCGCCGGTCTTCCAAAAGGCAGAAAATCCGTTAAGATAGGTCTAGATTCAAACACTGAAGTGGATAAATGTGTTTTCTGACATCTTAAATGAGAATCTTGTTATTGCCACTGAGAAAATGACAGTGAACAGTGTAGGAAGTGAATAAATCATTTATTCTGGCTTTACCTTCCCTGGGCTTCCTTCTGACAGCCAAGGGTCTATGCTTTTAGTGGGTGGCAAAATCAGGTTTCCTGGCATTAGTTTAAACACTTTTGGTAGGTAGGAGCTCTTTTAATAATTCGGACAGCATGTGCAGGTCACTGCAGGACTCACACATGTAAATAGCAAAAACAAAACTACTTCTATGCAGTTGATCTAGAATTCTCCCAGTATCCAACATTTGGAACCTACTTCTGCCTTAGCTAAAATAGAATAAAATTTGGAATTCTGACCCAATGGGCTGTTTGCCAACGAATCCGGCTCTTCTATCCAATGGAAAAAAGGAGAGAAAAATCACGAGTTACAAACTAGTTCTGTACAGTTCACAGAAAATGCCGGCTGGCTATGCCTGGACGTTAGAGGTCATGGAAGAAGACAAAAGTGAATTCAGGTCTGCAGGTGGCCTGCACCTGGGAACAGAGTCAATATTCAATGTGGTAGCCTCACTTCCTACAGTAGCTGCCATAAACTGGGCTGCCCTGAATGGGGGAACTGAAGAAAAATTCCTCTGTAGGAAGGGACAGAAGACTAGCTTCACCAAGGGAAGGAAATATTTGCATTGATGTTCAATGTGTTCCCTGCAGATGCCGTGGGGAAACCGTCCACCCTTAGCCCACCCCCAAAAGTCTTCTTTCTTCAACAAGCCGTTTCTGTTCTTGCGAGAGTGAACTGATTTGCTTCTGCAGGAGAGTCGGAAGCACCGAGACTGGGGCTGTCTTCCCTTTCCTTTCCTTCCAGAAGGGCCAGCAGCCTCAGGCAAGCCAAAGTCCTTTCCTCCTGAATGCGCAGTCTCGTGAATTCCACTGTCTTCAAAAATTGAGCAGCTGGTGGCAGCTCTCTGAAGAGCCGGGAGAGGAGGTGGCTCTGCTCTGACGCTGTTCTATGAAGATGATGGAGGCTTTCAGGGCTGAGGGGATGGCAGCTGGACTTGGAGAGGAGCCGGAAGAGGTGCTCAGAGAGGTATTTCACAAAGATTAGGGTCTCAGCCCAAAAGTTGACCTCTGCTTTTTCAAACAGGTAGTCTTCCACCTAAATCAAATGACAAAGCCCAGGGTCAACATTGCAGGGGATGTTGAAAAGCTCCCATCCAGACCAGAGTCCTGCCGGATGTGGAGGAGGTATGTCCCCTCCCCCTCCCTGGGGAGGGCCCACTCTCGCCTGTCAGCACCCACATACACTTGCCACTGGCAGTCTGTAAGGTCACCTTCTATTTTCATTTGCTGTACTTCTCTACCGGGGAGGAATTTTCTTCCCCAGACTTAACATGACCTTTGATAAAGATGTGTCTGCGGTTCCAAGCCAAGATTTGTGGGGGCCTGCTGCTGAAAAGGGAACCTCAACATGGGTGTGGCCTCTGGACCCAAAGGTGCATCTAGAAACCAGAGGGTGGGGGCGGGGAGGAAGAGAAATCTCAGTGGCAGAACAAAGAGCAAAAAAGGAGACCCTGCTCTCTGAGTACGAAACCAAACTGCTATAATGCCGGGAGTTTTCAAGGTTATTTTATCACAGACAATTTATCTTGTCTCCAAATTTCCCATAAACAGGCTGCTTTTGAACTCTTGGCTTGCTGGGTATGTCAGAGACGACCAGCTGAGTCAGACACTGGTGGATGGAAACAAATTTCAGTTGACGAGATGCTTCTGCTGCTAGTCTTGGTCCTCAGTTTTCCTGTCTGTTGACTGTAAGCAGCAAATACCCTGGTAGGATCCTGATTCTCTGGGAATGTTTCACCTTCCGACTTAACCATGGGGAGCCTGTAGCTCTTCCAGTGCGGACTAATAAGCATTCTCCATAATTAAACCCTCAACTTCCAAGGGGCCTCTTCCTTTTTCTTTCTTTTTTTTTTTTTTTCTATTGAGGTATCACTGATATACAATATTATACTAGTCTCAGGTGTACAACATTTGTATCCATTGTGAAATGATCACCACACTTAGTTACCATCTGTCGCCCTACGAAGTTAATATAACCTTATTGCCTATAGTCCACATGCTATACATTCGTCCCCATGACGTATTCATCTTATAACTGGGAGCCTGTACTTCTTGATATCCCTTACCCATTTCACACGACCTTAACCACCCCCTCCCCTCCAGAAACCACCAAACTGTTCTCTGTGAGTCTGGGTTAGGTTTAGTTTTGCTTGTTTTTTAGATTCCATATATTAAGTGAAATCAGGTGCTATTTGTCTTTCTCTGACTCATTTCTCTTAGTATTATACCGTTGAGTTCCATTTGTGTTGTCTCAAATGGTAACAGTCCATTCTTCTTCATGGCTGAGTAGTATTCCCATACATATATAACACACACATAATATACACACAATGCATGCATGTGCGTGCGTGCGCGTGCGCGCGCACACACACACACACACACACACACATCTTTATGTATTCATCCATTGAAGGACATGTTAAATTGATTCCGTATCTTGGCTACTGGAAATAAAGCTGCTGTGAACACAGTGGTGCATGTATCTTTTCAAATTAGTGTTTCCTTTTCTTTGGATAGAGCCCGGGCTATGAAGTTGCTAGAGAGCCCGGGCTATGAAGTTGCTAGATCTCCTGTTCTATTTTTAATTTTATGAGGAACCTCCATACTGTTTTCCATAGTGGCTGCACAGATTTACATTCCCACCAACAAGACATGAGAGTTCTTCCTCTACATCCTCACCAACACTTACTTCTTGTCTTTTTGATACTAGACATTCTGACTGGTGTTAGGTGATACCTCATTGTGGCTTTGATTTGCATTTCCCTGATGATTAGTGATGTTGAGTGTCTTTCCAGGTGCCTGTTGTCCATCTGTATGTCTCCTTTGGGAAAATGTCTATTCAGATCCTCTGCCCATTTTAAAATCAGATTTCTCTGATGTTATTGAGTTGGTGTTATTGAGTTGTATGAGTTCTCTATATTTTTTGGATATTAACCCCTCATTGGACATATAAATCATATGCAAATATCTTCTCCCACTAGGTAGGTTGTTTTCTTTTTTTCTTTCTTAAAATTATTTATTTGAGAGAGAGGGCAGAAGCAGAGGGAAGAGACAGAGGGAGAAGCAGCCTCCCCACTGAGCCAGCAGCCCAATGTGGGACTCAATCCCAGGACCCTGGGATCATGACCCAAACCAAAGACAGAGGCCCACCAACTGAGCCACCCAGTCACCCTACAGTAGGTTCTATTTTCATTTTGTTGATGGTTTCCTTCAGTGCACAGAGGCTTTTTAGTTTGATTTAGTCCCAGTTGTTTATTTTTGCTTTGTTTCCCTTACCTTTGGAGTCAGATGCACAAAAACATCACTAGGACTGAAGTCAAGGAGCTTACCATCTATGTTTTCTTCTAGAAGTTTTATAGTTTCAGGTCTTACATTCAAGGCTTTAATCCATTTTGAGTTAATTTTTGTAAATGGCGTAAGAAAGTGGTCCAGGTTTATTCTTTTGCATGTAGCTTTCCAGTTTTCCCAATACCATTTATAGAAGAGACTATCCATTCCTCATTGTATATTCTTGCTTCCTTTGTCAAAAATTAATTGACCATATATATACGTGGGTTTATTTCTGGGCTCTCTATTCGGTTCCACTGATCTCTATGTCTGTTTTTGTGTCAATGCCATACTGTTTAGATTACTATAGCTTTGTAGTATACTTTGAAGTCAAGACACATTATACCTCTGACTTTGTTCTTCTTTCTCAAGACTGTTTTGGCTGTTTGGGGTCTTTTTTTTTTTTTTTTTAAGATTTTATTTATTTGACAGAGATCTCAAGTAGGCAGAGGGGCAGGCAGAGAGAGAGGAAGGGAAGCAGGCTCCCTGCTGAGCAGAGAGCCCGATGCAGGGCTCGATCCCAGGACCCTGAGATCATGACCCGAGCCGAAGGCAGAGGCTTCAACCCACTGAGCCATCCACGCACCCCTGTTTGGGGTCTTTGGTGATTCCCTATAAATTTTAGAATAAATGTTCTAGTTCTGTGAAAAATACCATTGGAATTTTAATAGGATTTGCATTGAATCTATAGACTGCTTTGGGCAGATGGATATTTTAACAATATCAATTCTTCCAATCCAAGAGCAGGGAATATCTTTCCATTTATTTGTGTCTTCTTTAATTTCTTTCATCAGTATCTTACAGTTTAATAAGGTCTTTCGCCTCCTTAGTTAAGTATATTCCTAGGGTTTTTTATTTTTTATTTATTTATTATTTTATTTTATTTTATTTTTTTTAAGATTTTACTTATTTGAGAGAGAGAGAGCGCATGAAAGGGGCGAGGGGCAGAGGGAGAAGCCAGCTCCCTGATGAGCAGAGGGCCTGATGTGGGACTTGATCATGTGGGACAGGATCATGACCTGAGCCGAAGGCAGTTGCTTAACCAACTGAGCCACCCAGGTTCCTGGGTTTTTTATTTTTTATGCAACTATAGTTAGGACTGTTTTCTTGACTTCATTTTCTGACAGTTTGTTATTTATGTATAGAAATGCACCAGATTTTTGTACATTGATTTCGTATCCTGCAACTTTATTGCTGAATTCATTTATTAGTTCTAAAAGGTTTTTTGGTAGAGTCTTTAGGGTTTTCTAAATATAGTGTCATGTCATCGGCAAACAGTGACAATTTTACTTCTTCCTTTCCAATTTATATGCCTTTTATTTCTTTTTCTTGCATAATTGCTGTGGCTAGCATTTTCAAGACTCTGTTGCATAAAAGTGGTGAGAGTGGGGATCTTTGCCTTGTTTCTGATCTTAGAGGAAAAGCTTTCAGCTTTTATCCACTGAGTATTTTCAGCTTTTATCCACTGGGGTTGTCATATATGGCTTTCATTATGTTAAATATGTACCTTCTACACCCACTTCGTTAAGGGTTTTGTTTTTACCATAAATGGATGTTGAATTTTGTCAAATGCTTTTCTGCATCTATTGTGATGATCATGATTGTCTTTCATTTTGTTAATACTGTGTATCACATTGACTGATTTGTGGATGTTGAACCATCCTTGCATCCCTGGAATAAATCCCACTGGATTATGGTATATGATACTTTTAATGTGTTGTTGAACTCAATTTACTAATAGCTTGTTGAGGATTTTGCATCTATGTTCATCAGGGATATTGGCCTATAATTTTCTTTCATTCTTTCTTTTTTTTTGTGGTGTCCTTACCTGGTTTTGGTATCAGGGTAGTGCTAGCCTTATAAATCAATTTGGAAGCATTCCCTCCTCTTCAATTTTTTGGAAGAGTTTGGAAGGGTAGGTATGAAATTCTTGAATGTTTTGTAGAACTCACCAGTGAAGCCTTCTGGTCTTGGATTTTTGTTGTGTGTGGGGCTTGCCCCCCTTTTATTTTTTATTTATTGGGAGGTTTTTAATTGACTCCCAGTAACTGGTCTATTCAGATTTTCTATTTCTTTATGAATCGGTCTTGGAAGATTACAAGGTTTTAGGAATTTATCCATTCTTTTTTGGTTGTCCAGTTTGTTGGCATATAATTGCTCACAATAGTCTCTTTTTTTTAATCCTTCACAAATTTATTTCTCTCTAAATTCATTACAAATAAGAAATATCTTAGAAATACCTTCCAGTATTTCAGAAAAAAATGGATTTGAACAATAGTACTCTAGTAACATTCATCAAACCATTCATTCATTCATTTATTAACATCCACCATGATGGTGGATGTGTTAGGTATTGGGCAACACAGTGATAAATACCTAACACAGTGACAATACTGTGTTAGGTATTGGGCAACACAGTGATAAATGAGTAGCCCCTGTCCTCTTAAGGCTCAGTTTAAAAGAGGAGAAAATGTAAAGAAATTCCCCTAAAGCTTCAGTTTTATCAACCAATTTTTAGAATCATAATTTTTTTTTTCAAAGGTGTTTCTCCATAACCTTTACACACAAAAAACACACTAATTGCTAGTCAACTGCATACACTGACCAAGTAGGTAGGTCTACGGGAGAGCGGTTTTCACACCGCAAGTTGTAACATTTAAGAGGTCATGAAATCAATATGGATTGCAACCAGTTAAAAATAATAAGACAATGGTTCAGAAACATCAGTACTATGTGTTATAAAGTATTATTTAGTGAAATGTTTGTTTCAGAAGTACAGAGTGAGAGGGAAGTGCTTCCCTGTCTTCCTATATACACCTCCCATCCTCCTTCCACCTGCCCCAAGACACAACCTTAGCATAGACATCCAATTCACAGTAGTCTCTTCTGATCTTTGTATTTCTGTGGTATCAGTTGTAACCTCTCCTCTTCATTTCACATTTTATTTATTTGAGCCCTCTTTTTCTTGGTCAGTCTAGCTAAAGTGTTGTCTATTTTATGTTTCAAAGAACAAGATTTTAATTTCATTGATGTTTTCTATTGTCTTTTTAGTCTCTATTTCATTTATTTCCACTCTGATATTTATTCTTTCTTTCCTCCTCCTAATTTTGGATTTTGTTTGTTCTTTTTTTTCTGATCCCTTGAGGTAGAAAGTTAGGTTGTTGAGATCTTTCTTGTTTCTTGATAATAGGCAATTATCACCTGAACTTCCCTCTTAGAACTACTTTTTCTGCATCCCATTGATTTTGGTATGTTCTGTTTCTGTTTTCATTTGTTTCTGGGTGTTTAAATTTCTCCTTTGACTTCTTCTATGACCCAATAGTTGTTCAGTAACATATTGCTTAATTTCCATGTATTTTTAGTTTTTCCAGTTTTCTTCTTGTATTTATTGAGACTTGTTTTGTGGCCTAACGTGTTCTATCCTGGAGAATGTTCCATGTGCATTTGAGAAGAATGTGTATTCTCCTGCTTTAGATGGGATGTTCTGTATATATCTATTAAAATCCATATGGTCTATTGTATTGTGTAAGGCCAACATTCCCTTATTTATTTTGATTGGATGATCCATCCATTGATGTAAGTGGGATATTAAAGTCCCCTACTATTATTACATTACTCATAATTTCTCCCTTTAGGTCTGTTATTATTTGCTCCTATGTTGGGTGTATAATATTCATAAATGTCATATATTCTTGTTGGATTGACCCTTTTATCAATATGGTGGCCCTCTTTCTCTTTTATTGTGGTTTTTGTTCTAAAGTTATTTTGTCTGATACGATTATAGCTATACCAGCTTTCTTTTTGTTTCCATTTGCAAGGAATGTAATTCTCCGTTGCTTCACTTTTGGGCTGCATGTGTCCTTACTTCTGATGTCTCTTGCAGGCAGTATACAGATGTATCTTTTTTTTTTTTTTTAATTAATTTAGCCACTCTATGTCTTTTTTTTTTTAAACACTTTTTTTTAAAATATTTTATTTATTTATTTGACAGACAGATCACAAGTAGGCAGAGAGGCAGGCAGAGAGAGAGGAGGAAGCAGGCTCCCTGCTGAGCAGAGAGCCCAATGCGGGGCTCGGTCTCAAGACCCTGGGATCATGACCTGAGCTGAAGGCAGATGCTTAACTCACTGAGCCACCCAGGCGCCTCCACTCTATGTCTTTTGATTGGATAATTAGTCCATTTACATTTAAAGTAATTATTGATAGGTATCTGCTTATTGCCATTTTGTTAACTATTTGGTAGCTGTTTTGTAGGGCCTACATGTTCCTTTCTTCTTCTCTTGTGGTTTGATGACTTTCTTCAGTGTTTAGATTCCTTTCTCATTTTCTGTGTTTATGGTAAGTTTTTGCTTTGTGTTTATTGTAAGGTTCACATATGTTATCCTATATCTATAACAGTCTATTTTAATTGATAGCATCTTCAATTTGAACATATCCCAGAATCCAAATTATTACTCCCTCTATTTTTTGTTTTTGATGTCACATTTTACATCTTTTCACACTTCCCTTAATTATTGTAGTTTTAGTACATTTTACTAAACTTTTTCTTTTAACATTCAAAGTAGCTTTGTAAGTGATTTATCTACTACCTTTATTATACATTTACCTTTTCCAGTGGGATTTTTACTTTCATATGTTTTCTTGTTATTATTTAGTAACATTTCTTTTCTTTCTTTTCCTTTTTTTTTTTTTTTTGGTGGGCAGCAAAGCAAGGTTTATTGACCAATAGCAAAGTGATAGTTACAAAGCTCCCAAGGAAGAAGGGGAAATAAGGGGGTTGCCACTGGAGTTTCTAAGTCTAGGGGTTTTTATGGGCTTGTTAGCATGCTGTTTTAATCCAATTAACCCTCCTGCTTGTCATCTAATCAGATTTTTGTCACCTGTCTTATCATATGCAAATGGTGGAGGGCTCCTTCCAGGGTAGTATAAAATCCTTTTAAGGGTGGTTTCCTCTTAGGGCTGGGGATGGGGTGGGGCTTGTCCCTGTCTGCCTGCTTTCCAGCTATCCTTCATCATTCTCCCTTTGAAGAAGTAACCCTAACTGCTTTTAGGGAAGAAGGGTGACCACCTTTCTATCATAGCTACTTCCTATTGGTCACAGGTGTTGGATGGGGCCGCAGTCAGGGTTCCTCTCATCCCATCTTCATTTGTGCCATTTCTTTTTGACTTAAATGAGTCCTTTAACATTTCTAAGCCCAGGTTAGTGGTGACAGCTCCTTTAGTTTTTGCTTGTCTGGGAAACTTTTTATTTCTCCTTCCTTTCTGAATGATAACCTTGCCAGGTACAGTATTCTTGGTTGGAAGATTTTGAGTAAGACATGACACTCCCTTCTGGCCTGCAAAATTATTGCTGAGAAACCTGCCCATAGCCTTACAGGGTTTCCCCTGTACGTAATAATTTGTTTTTCTCTTGCCACTTTTAAGATTCTCTCTTTAACTTCTGACATTTTAACAATGATGTGTCTTGGTGTGGATCTCTTTAGGGTCATCTTCTCTGGAATTCTTTGGGCTTCCCTGGGCCTGGATTTGTTTCCTTTTCCAGGCTAGGGAAGTTTTCAGCCATTGTTTCTTCAATTTAGTTTTCTGCTCCTTTCTCTCTTCTCCTCTTGGGACCCCTATGGTGTGAATGTCATTCCACCTGATGCTGTCCCAATAGCTCTCTTAAGCTAACTTCTTTTTATTTTTATTTATTTATTTTTAAGATTTTATTTATTTATTTGACAGAGAGAGAGATCACAAGTAGGCAGAGAGGCAGGCAGAGAGAGAGGAAGGGAAGTAGGTTCCCTGCTGAGCAGAGAGCCTGATGCGGGGCTCGATCCCAGGACCCTGGGATCATGACCTGAGCTGAAGGCAGAGGCTTTAACCACTGAGCCACCCAGGCACCCCTAACTTCTTTTTAAAATTTGCTTTCCTTTTTGCTGCTCTGTCTGGATGAGCTCCATTGCTTTGTCTTCCAGCTCACTGAGCCATTCTTCTGTTTCAGCTAGTCTGCTATTGAGCCCTTCTAATGTTTCTCAGGTCAGTTATTGTATTTTTTGGCTCTGTGCCTTCTATTTGGTATTTATGTATATTTTCTCTTTGTTGCAGTTCTCACCGTGTCCATCCTTTCTTTTCCCAAGTTCAGTGAACTATTTTTTTTTAAGATTTTATTTATTTATTTGAGAGAGAGGGAGAGCACAAAGGGAGAGTGAGAGGGCGAAGCAGACTCCACGCTGAGCAGAGAGCCCAATGTGGGGCTTGATCCCAGGACCCTGAGGGCATGACCTGAGCCGAAGGCAGACACTTAACTGACTGAGCCACCCAGGCCCCCCAGTGAGCTTCTTTATGGACACTACTTTGAATTCTTTATCAGATAGATTCCTTATCTCCATTATCATTAAGGTCTTTTTCTGGAACATATTTCTGTTTCCTCATTTTGCTTGACTCTGTGTTTGCTTCTGTGTATTAGGCAAAGAAGCCACCTCTCTTGGTCTTGAAGGAGTGGGTGGCCTAATGGGTGATGAAACTTCTCCTTCAACTTTGCCCTAGCTCTTGGTTGTCTCTTGAACCCTTCTGATTGTCTGAACAGCCTGATTTTTTTTTTTTTTAAGATTTTATTTATTTATTTGACAGAGAGAGAGATCACAAGTAGGCAGAGAGACAGGCAGAGAGAGGGAGGGAAGCAGGCTCCCCACTGAGCAGAGAGCCTGATGCAGGGCTCGATCCCAGGACCCTGAGATCATGACCCAAGCTGAAGGCAGAGTCTTAACCCACTGAGCCACCCAGGTGCCCCTGAACAGCCTGATTTATTCTTAATATGTCCCCATTGTTGAGGATGTGCCAAGACCTGTCAGTGTTCCAAGGGGAGGAATCTCATTTAGCACCTGCTTTCAGGCTGATTGGAAGCCAGATCCTTTGGCAGCAGCTTTTAAAATATATATAATACTGTGGGATGGCAATTGTAATCCTTCCTGGCCTCCAGACCAGGAGATCTTGAGGTGTCCCTTGGACAACTGTTGCAAAAATTGGGGCTCTGGATCAATGTATTAGGTTTTTGGGGAGAGGTCTCATGGAGCCGTAGCAAGGCCAAGGGGAGCATGCAAGGATGTCACCTCCTGCTTATGTTTCCTAGGAACACCTCCTGAACCTCTAGATGTGTGGGAAACCTGAAGCCTATCTCTCAGGCTGAGGATCCAGGCTAAGTAAACAGCCTTTTTTCCATGAAGACTGGGGTTGTGTTTCAGTCCACTGTCTGTGCAGGGCCCTGGGGTGGTAGGCTGCCAAGAACTGTCTTCCTGATCACCACCTTCCTGCGGAGTTCAGGATGCCAGCTCCCTTGGCCACCAGAGCCAGGCAATCAAGGGGTGTCCTGGGTGTGGAACAGCCAAGGCTGTTGGCTTTAGCTAGGCCACTGGATAGTGAAGGCAGTGGGGCCTGCCCACGGGCTTCAGAAACCCAGGAGGCTCTTTGAAAGTCCTCTCCCCTGGTGATCTCAAGACTTACCACTGGAACCTCAAAAGTCAGCATGAGAGCTGCCCCCGCTCCCGCAGCAGCATCGAGGCAGCTGCTGTGGTCATTTGGAGACTTCCTAATTGGTTATTGATCTGTATGTGAGCACTCAGAAGCACACTTTCAGCAGCCACAGGAAGCTGCAGCAAGCCTGCTATGCTGATCTAGTGGATTTGGGCCACCACTCTGATCCCATCGCCATCCTGAGACCCTGGGGTTACCTGATGGGTGCTTTCCACAGGGATCGCAGAATCATCACCCTCTCCCAACAGCCATCCTAGCAGGACTGGGAGTCCAGGGGCCAGCTGGTCCCACTGCTGGAGCAGGTCACACAGCACAGCCAGGGCCAGAGTCAGTGCAATTGAAGCGTCCACCTGACAGAAGGCAAATTCTGTGGAAATGAGAAAGAGAGAGAGAGAGAGAGAGAGGTGAGCGTTGAATGTGCTGCTCAGGGCCAGCCTGGGGAGGCTCTGCAGGACTCCAGGAACGTGAAGGGCCTCAGGTCAAATCACTGCCACCAGCCTGCAGGGAGGCGGCTAGGCTCCTTAGAGGTCATTAGTCCATTTCATTCTGCTGGAAGGAGTCAGAGGCCTGAACCTCACCATTTTCATGCCCCCACCCTCATCCCTGTGTGGTCAGAAGCAATTCCACCTGTAAGATGAGACATTTAGCTCCCGTCAGCCCACCTACTGTAACTGGAAGGACCTCAGGAAAGCTTCCCACCCTGTGTCTCTTCTGCAGGCCTGTCACAACGCCTGAATGCCACTGCTCTGCCCCTCCCTCCGAAAGCAAATCCCGCTGGCCACGTGACACATTAACCTCTTGCCATTTTACCATTTTAGAGCAGGGCATCAGCAAATTTTTTCTTTTTTCTTAAAGATTTCATTTATTTATTTGACAGACAGAGATCACAAGTAGGCAGAGAGCCTGGCAGAGAGAGAGAGAGAGAGAGAGAGAGGAGGAAGCAGGCTCCTTGCAGAGCAGAGAGCCCGATGTGGGGCTTGATCCCAGGACCCCGGGATCATGACCTGAGCTGGAGGCAGAGGCTTTAACCCACTGAGCCACCCAGGATCCCCAGCAAACTTTTCGTTAAAAGGTCAGAGAATAAATAGTTTAGACTCTGGGGGGTCTTCAGGTCCCTTTCACAACTCCTCAACTCTGCTGAAAGCAGACACAGGCAATATGGAAACTTTAAGTTGCAGTAAAATTTGAATTTCATGAATTTTTCACTTGTCATAAAATATTCTTCTTTTGATTTTCTCCCCCCAACCATTTACAGACCTAAAAAGCACTTGTAGGGGTGCCTGGGTGGCTCAGTGGGTTAAGCCTCTGCCTTTGGCTTGGGTCATGATCTCAGGGTCCTGGGATCGAGCCCCACATTGGGCTGTCTGCTCAGCAGGGAGCCTGCTTCCCCCTCTCTCTCCACCCACCTCTCTGCCTACTTGTAATCTCTCTCTCTGTGTCAAATAAATAAATAAAATCTTAAAAAAAAAACCACTTGTAGTTCATAGGCTGTATGGCAGCAGGTGGCAAGCTGGATTTGGCTCATATCTGCGGCCCTCTTGTCTTCGAATTCAGTTTTTCAGATCCTCGTCTTGCTAGCTGGCTAGGAAAGGGTGCGGAAAGAGTAGAATGGGGTGCAGAAAGAGGAAGCGGGTGCCTTGGGGAAACCATTGCTTACTTCATCATTTGCCTTGGACAGCCCTAAATATAGGTTTGAAGAGAGGCTCTGGGTGTTGACACTTCCGCTAACAACTGGAGGCCTCCTACCCCCAACCTGGAGGAGGTCTGAGACAGGACTGCAATACTACCACCAAATGAACCTCTTTGGATCCCTCCACGCACCAAGGCCTGTATTTTGATGACCCACTTCTATTGAAGCCTCATTGTTCCCTAATCCCCATCTCCAGTTCCAGCACACAGACCTGGCCTGGACCGCTGGCCCTCACAGAGACTTGCTCAGCACACAGAGAGAAGGCTCAGAGTCTAGACTGAAAGCTTGAGCTCTCGGGGTACTGAACCGGTCCAAGTAGGATGCCCCTGCTCCCATCCCAGGGCCCATTATATGCCAGGCCCTAACCAACTACTTTCTGTCCATTCCTTTGACATCCCATGGGCTGGGTATTGTCATCCCTACTTCACAGGTGCAGAACCCTGGGCTGACATTAAGTTACTTATATATAGTCCCAGTGCTTTAAGTCACTATAAATAATCAGAATGGGCACAATGTTTCATGGCGCCTCCGGAGCACAGATTTGAATTAGCATCAACATTCCAGACATATAGGTCTCCCCAGTGAGATAAGCCAGGCTAGTGACCCTGAAGTGGGCCCTGTACTACCTGGAGCCCACCCAGCAGAGCCTGGACTCATGGAAGCAACCCCAAGATTGATGTCACCATCCCCAAATCAATCTCTCAGGACCCTGCCCCTTGGTGCCTCTGCTCCCCAGCCTGCTGCCTCCTGCTGCCTGGAACCAGGATTTAACCCAGGCAACAGAGAAAGAAGAGAGGGATGAGAGAGAAACAGTGAGCAAATGTGCATTTTGGCTCTCGGTCTGGGGCATGTGTTGGTCCGGCCCTTACCTACAGTATAATCTCTATTTTTATCTCTACCTAACTCCTCTGTGTAGTTCTCAGATGGTTTAGAATCTGTATGGGGAGATGGTACAATTAATTAGCATCTTTCACACCTAAAAGAACTGAAAATATACATGAAGATTAGCATAGGATTAAACACATAGCAGATGCTCAGAACATTCTAGTGTGTGGCTCCGGAGATCATGAAATCTTTTCCTTTGCTCCTAACTTGATTTAATTTGAACACTAACATAGGGACTGCCATAAAGAAAGCATTCACTAAATGGTTACCTAGGGTTACTGGTGATAATAATGAACACTGGCCTATCTAACCCTTATTGCTCCCACACGAGCAGGGAGGTATCCTTATTTAACCAATGAGGAAGCTATGCTCACGGGGAATGGATCCAAGTTTGCACAGTCAGCAGTGGCGGCAGTGAGCTAAGTCTGCCTCAGCCCAGACGCTGCCCCCACCCCATGGGGAGGCCATGCAGAAACAGCCCACGGAGATGAAGAAGTCACACTTGGCTTTATCACTTTTATTCATGATGCCACCAGGAAGGCCTGCTGCACTTGCCACACCTGCCAGGACAGATGTCTCCCATCCTGTACCAATTTGTCATGAATTGTGCTTAGGAAGTGGCAGGTGAGTGACGGGCATGACAGAGGCACAGGGGAGTGTTGGTGTGACTTGGCTAGGAGTAGATCCAGAGAGAATTAGAGCCATCCAAATACTGATTCTGCCAGATGAAAAAGGAAGGGGAAAGAAAGCTGGATGGGGGAGGGGGGAATTAGTTGGATTTAAATCTGCTTGAGGGGCCAGATGCACCCCACCAAATTTCCTCTTTTATTACTTTGTCTTGAACTAGGATGGCTTGGCCAGAACAACCCAGATCGCTACTGGCCACATGCCCTGTGAAGAGAGGCAGAAGAGTGGGAGAGGAGTTTTTTTTTAGCTCAGCACACAAGCCAACTAGGCTCTCACGGGCTGGCCAGTCCATCAGCGAAACAAGAAAGCAAGTGACCAAACCACCAGTGTGTCTGAAGAATCTGTTGCATGTCCAGAACAGCTAAACAATCTGGAAAAACACAACAGAACTGGAAGACTCACACTTCCCGATTTTAAAACCTAACTACAAAGTGACAGTAATCAAGACAGTGTGGTGCTGGCATAAGGACAAATATACAAATCCATGGAATAGAACTGAGAGTCCAGAAATAAACCCTCACACTTACATTCCATTGTTTTTTTGTTTTTTGTTTTTTTGACAAGTGTGCCAAAAACAATTAACAGTAGGGAAAGAACAGTTTTTTCAACCAATGGAGGCAGGACACCTGGGTATTCATCCATAGGCAAAACAATGAAGTTGGACCTAATTCACGGCAGGTACAACAATGGACTCAAGATGGATCATTAAGAGCTAAAACTATAAAACACGTAGAAGAGGGGCACCTGGGTGGCTCAGTGGGTTAAGTCTCTGCCTTTGGCTCAGGTCATGATCTCAGAGTCCTGGGATCAAGCCCCACATTGGGTTCTCTGCTTGGCAGGGAGCCTGCTTCCTCCTCTCTCTCTCTCTGCCTGCCTCTCTGCCTACTTGTGATCTCTCTCTGTCAAGTAAATAAATAAAAAAATCTTAAAACACGTAGAAGAAAATACAGAAGTGAAGCTCTGCGATCTTGGATTAGGCAGTAGTTTCTTAAGTAAGACATCAGAAGCCCAAGCAAGAAAAGAAAGGTCAGACTTCATCAGAACCGTAAACTTTTGTGCTCCAAAGGACATCATTAATAAAGAGAAGACAACTCACGGAGATGGAGAATATATATATCTGCAAATCCCGTATCTGACAAGGGACATATATTTGGAATACATAAAGCACTCTTAAAATGAAATAATAAAAAGATAACCCAATGAAAACATGTGCAAAGGATCTGAATAGACATTTCTCCAGAGAAGATCCACAAATGCCCAATAAGCACAGGAAAAGATACTCAGCACCATTAACCATCAGGAAAATGCAAATCAAAACCACAGCGAGATACCACTTCACAACCCTTAGATCCATAATACAAAAGACAGATAATAAGTTTTGGTGAAAATGTGGAGAAGTTGGAACTCTCAGACACTGCTGGTTGGGATGTAAAATGGTGCAGCCAGTTTGGGAAACAGTCTCGAAGTTTTGCTCACTCCTAGGCACATACACTGAAGAGAAATAAAAACCGTATGTCCATACAAACATTTGTATTTGTGAATTTTCATACTAGCCAATACACAGAAGCAGTCAAGACGTCTATCAACCAAGGGATAGAGAAATAAAATGTATAACCGTACAGTGGAATATTATTTAGCTGTAAAATGGAATGAAGTACAGATACATGCTACACCACAGACGAACCTTGGAAACATGCTGAGTGAAAAGAAGCCAGACACAAAAGACCATGTATTGTATAATTCCACCTATGTGAAATATCCAGATCAGGTGAATCACAGAGACAAAAAGCGGATTAATGGCTGCCAGAGGTTGGAGAATGGGGAGATGGAGGAATGACTGCTGATAGAAACAGCGTTTCTTTTTTGGGTTGACGAAAATGTTCTGGAATTACACAGTGGTGATGGCTGTACAACCTTGCGATATACTAAAATGTGTATATCCGTAGGCTTTAATTTGGTGAATTTTGTGGCATGTGAATTATCTTGGGCCAGGGGGCAGGGGGAATGTGGCAGGCTAAAAAATGGCTCCTGGCCCCTGGAACCTGTGAATGTTACCTTATTTGGAAAAAGAGTCTTTCCAGATGTGATTTAGTTAATGGTCCTGA